ATAGAATACCCCTGGTCGGGGTTCTGGGGGTGTGTCCATGTAGATTTGTTCCCGTACTGTAGCTGGGAGTTTCTTGAGCAATTTTGAAAATTGTATCTGAACTTCACTTTTGACATTTTTTCTAACTCTTTTGTAGGGTTGTCAAGCGATTAAAAAATAATCGTGATTAACTGCACTGTTAATAATAAAATACCATTTATTTAAATATTTTTGGATGTTTTCTACATTTTCAAATATAATTACCAGTATTTCAATAACAACACAGAATAAAAAGTGTATAGTGCTCACTTTATATTTATTTTCTATTACAAGTGTTTGCACTGTAAAAAAAAAAAATGAATAGTATTTTTCAATCTCTTTATCATGAAAGTTGAACAAATGTAGAATTATGTACCTAAAAAACTGCATTCAAAAATAAAACAATGTAAAATTTTAGAGCCTACAAGTCCACTCAGTCCTACTTCTTGTTCAGCCAATCACTCAGACAAACAAGTTTGTTTGCATTTACAGGAGATAATGTTGCCCTCTTCTTGTTTACAATGTCACCTGAAAGTGAGAACAGGCATTCTCATGGCACTGTTGCAGCCGGTGTCACCAGGTATTTACGTGCCAGATGTGCTAAAGATTCACATGTCCCTTCATCCTTTAACCACCATTCCAGGGGACATGCATCCATGCTGATGACAGGTTCCGCTTGATAACAATCCAAAGCAGTGCACACTGTCGCATGTTCATTTTCATTATCTGAGTTGATGTCACCAGCAGAAGGTTGATTTTCTTTTTTGGTGGTGTGAAAGTTACTAGTGACCCCCCCTTAACAGAGCAGCCTTTATGTCAACCAGTGGCCATTAGGGGGAAGCAGACATTTCAAGTACACAGTAGCCTGAACTTTTCAACTGTCTTCCCTTCAAGGCCTTAAAGTAGTTGGAGCTGGTCCCAAGCCGGTTTTCACTGACCAGATAGCAAAAGCACGGGTCTAACAACCACCAATCAAGTGTTAACACTGCAAGGACCTTTGTCTAAATGTGTATAAAGAATCTGTAAAATGTGTGTAAGACAGAGTTTTTGTACTAAAGTGCAAAGCTCTCCTTTCTTCTGCAGAATAAAGCAACTCCTCCTTATCCCTGTCTGGCTGTTATTGGCTCTCAGCTAGGTGGACCCGATATTTCGGTCACAGTTTCTGGCGACTCCGCCGGGACTCTCCTAGCTCGGACATTGGACTCCGGACGGCTGCGGCGAATTGAGAACGGCGCCAACAAGGTGTTTCGCCCCTTTTCTCTGCTTCACCGCAGCCCCTAGGGTTCGTGCTCCGATAAGGTGAGTCCTAATAAAATAAGAAGACACTATCTAGTTCTGGTCTGGTTAACCGGTTAATAAATTTCTGTCTTATACATTTGGGCGTTAGGTGTGTGGACGGAACTGAGCCTCTCATTCGTAATTCCTCAGAGTGGAAGCCATCACGTGCGATGAAGCTCTAAAGTCGAATTGAGATCCTTCTGTCCCGTCCCCTGTAGCAGTCAGTATTAGTAAAAATTCCTGTAATAGAATCCTATTAGGCCATAATTCCCTCTGTTCTCTGTGTAATTCTCTGTTAAAGTGTCAGCAGGCAAATAAGTGAGTCTCTGGTAATTAAACCATAATTCCCTCTGTTCTCTGTGTAATTCTCTGTTAGAGTGTCAGCAGGCAGATAGGTAAGTCTCTGGTCTCTGGTAAAACCCTCTGAAAATAGCCCTTTAAATTATATGTTAAGTAAATAGTCTTTACCCGGTGTTTAAAAAAAATAGTTACACCTTGTGTAAAAATTAATGTAGCTAGTGTTGTAAAAATTAAATTGTAAAGAAAATGTGCATTTTCCCCAAAACATGTGCAGTGTATATTGTAGCAAAAGTAAAAAAAATGCAAACCCAGCATCCGAGACTGCTATAACATGAAATATAAGGCAGAATGCAGGTAAAATAGAGTCAGAGACATACAATTCTCCCCCAAGGAGTTCAGTCACAAATTTAATTAACACATTATTTTTTTAATGAGTGTCATCAGCATGGAAGCATGTCCTCAGGAATGGTGGTCAAAGCATGAAGGGGCATATGAATGTTTAGCATATCTGGTACGTGAATAATTTGCAACGCCAGCTACAACAGTGCCATGCGAATGCCTGTTCTCATTTTCTGGTGACATTGTAAATAAGAAGAGGGCAGGATTATCTCCTGTAAATGTAAACAAACTTGTTTGTCTGAGCGATTGACTGAAGAAGAAGTAAGACTGAGTGGACTTGTAGGCGCTGAAGTTTTACATTGTTTTGTTTTTGAATGCAGTTATATAACCAAAAAAAAATCTATTTTTGTAAGTTGCAATTTCACAACAAAGAGATTGCACTACAGTACTTGTATGAGGTGAATTGAAAAATACTATTTCTTTTGTTTATCATTTTTACAGTGCAAATATTTGTAATAAAATAATATGAACTTTGATTTCAATAACAACACACAATACACTATATATGAAAATGTAGATAAACATCCACAATATTTAATAAATTTCAATTGGTATTTTATCAACAGTGCGATTAAAAGTACAATTAATCGCGATTAATTTTTTTGAGTTAATTGTGTGAGTTAATTGTGATTAATCGACAACCCTACTCTTTTGGCTTCTTTATATCTCTAAAGCAGCATGGCCTAGAAACTCCAAATATGGGGCCCAATTCTGCACACTGCTTCCATGGAGCATCGCTATTACTTCAGTGGGGCTCTGTGTGGTGGAAGGGTCCACTCAAGCAGAGCTGCTTACAGGATCAGTTGGGGCTTTGTTGTGTTGGCCTTGGTGAGAATTGACTTTTAGTATTCTTATGTTGGTTTTGCAGGGAGGAGGGGACAATAGAGCAGAACCCGGGGGTGTTTCCTGGGGAAATTCAAAAGTAATATATAAAAAATTTAGATACATACACACACAGTGTAAAATTTATATTAAAATGTGTGATA